TGCTTGTGGCTAGGAAGCAAGAGTTAGTTAGATCACACCCGACAGTTCCTGTCGAATTCCATTTAGCCGTGGTCAGAGTGTGAAGAGCACTGCGTCTATGATGTAATGGCGGGGCTTCCTGTGCTCCACCTATAGGATCCATACTATGATTCGGGCTGGATTGTTGTGAACTGTTGACTGTAGTAGCAGACATGGCCAAACCGAGACGATCGTAAAGAGACGAGTGAGCTACGTAAAAAGGACAGTGGAATAAAATGCTGTTTCAATCGAGCATGGAGAATTATGGATAGACAGATATTTTCAATTTAGGATATATGATACAAACATATAACAGATCAAAAGAGGAAATTCAGGTAAAATGGAGCCACTTTAAGAGACCAGTTGGAATGAAGTAGTTGTATCTTGTTTCCATCAGCGGCCATCTTTTCGTGAGAACTATAGCACGACTAGGATGAACCAAACCAGAGGATGCAGACAAGAAAATATTTCTGGGAGACAAAACCCGCAGCATCGGCGATGAGCGCCACGATTGTTGCAAAGTTTGACTGGCACTCATTAGGCAAAATGAAGACATTCCCCGAATGTCAAACGATGCTTTAAATGTCAGTGAGTGATCGGGCCTGAGGATCAACATACGTGAATTTATAAGAATGTGAAAGTGATGTGTACCTCTCTTGCAATCTTGAAAGATTCGCATTATGGATGTTTACAAAAGGGATCGAAGTTAACACGCGGTTACACAAATTGCGCAACAAAGATGTGAATACACCTAATTCAACATGTTGTCTACACAGAGTTCATAGTTTATGTGAGCGAATCGGAGGCGACCTGCTTTGGCACGAGTAACCTGGCGGTATCGTGCCCACGTGCAAAAACATGAAATGTTTTTCTTTTTTACAAAGATCACTGTACTCTGATTTATTTGGCACAGTCTGAACTCAGATGTGCGTGAAATATTCACATACATATGTATCCCTTTTGGATATTGTGAGCGTGACTGTTTCGCACCTTCTCAGTGTTAACACTGTTACCGGATTCCACAGTAGCAATGAAGTCAATGAAGAAAGCAAACATTTTTCTCCTTGAACAGGCATCTCTCTGGGGAGAGTGTTTAAGAGGGTAAGAATATAGGTAGTGTCAACAATACCTAGTTTTTCTTCAATAGTGATTGCGCTTGCGAGTGTTTCTTCGAGAAACCGACAGCTCTATTAGCAAAATATTAATCGACGATCAATTCCTTATGTTGTAATGATGAACAAAGGCTATTAGTGTTGTAGTAATAATGCTGTCTGCACAGCATTTCACTAGTCTACGGATCGAGCCTTACTGAGGTCAGATATAGGGCAGTGAAAGGCCACGACCATGCACCTAGGCAAACACAACCTTTTAGATTAGAGTTACTGAGACATGTGGTACCAGTGCCACCAAGCAAGCCTAGTTCGTGGGCAACGTTTGTCGGCTCAGTTCGCGGTCAGAGAAAAGAAAAGGCCGGCCTCGTGGAGTGAAACGATGAAAGACTTGGTCATTGGGTTTGTTCCGGTGGATCATGTTTAGGTTTCCAGTTTGGGGTGCTGAACTAATGCATGGGGGTGGTAAACAGTGAGGACAGTGCACGCGTTCATTTTATTGCCCCCTTCCTCCTCGAATCTTAATTATTGTATTGTTTTTATTTTTATTACACAATTTAATTGATTTGCAGTAGGAGACAGCAATCAGTATTAGAAAAAAGAATTTCAGAAGAGGGGAGGAGTGATGGTTATGTAAACAGTGCTGAACTAAGGATCGAACTCTCAGACACATGCGGTCATCGAGTAAAGATGATCAACAGTGAAATGTGACATTTCGGTTTGTCAGTTACTGTGTACAGTTCGACAGAACATTCCATTTCGTCATTAACGATGTTAAAAAGACGACTTCATTTATCTAGCTCCGCTAAAAGGTTCCCAGTTTTAGTCATTCATTGTTGTGATATCACAGCAGAAAAAACAAACAATCCAAGCGTAGAAATGAATGAACTGTGCAAAGTACTTCGGTGACGAAGCCAGTAAGAAACATCTGCTCACATGAAAAGATGCGTACACGATCACGATTCCTTCATTCTGTTCAAATCTATAAATGCGGTTACATTCCAAGTGACCAAGGTCCGGTTAACAGAATTTCGGAAACTGCGTCATAAAATTTGGATAATAGGGAGGACCCGATCTGCTTAGCACCTTGAGATCGGTAACCATATGTCCTCATCCCTTCTGGTGCAAAACAACGTAAACCTAGCTGGCATTAGAGAGAGAGACTCGTGGATGAATGAGCTTCGACCTTGCGATTCGGTACGAGCAAACACTGTCCCCCACAAAAGCAAACACACTCTGGTGTCTCCGAATTGTTTTCAAACGTTAATTTGTACATAACCAATGGATATTATCTTAGTGACGTTCACTGTAAAGAAAAATTGCAAATGGTTGAGATTGTGGAGTCTATCACTCCGAGTGTTCATAGAAACACGTCCTCTCTCTCTCTGTCGGTATGTGTCTGCGCGCATACGTGTATATGGCTGCTTCCTTTGGCATCTTTATCTATATTTAGTGAAGGAATGCAACGCGTCAATCGGCACTCACATGGGTCACGATTTGTCAACAC